CTACTCCCGTAAGGATTTACACCCTCGGAAACCCTGTACAGGGTCGCTATGGGTCGGAACCGACTCGACGGCACTTAACAACAACAACAACAACATAGGTAGGGAAAAGGAACTCTGGTAGTGTAGTGGTTTACGAATCAGGCTGTGAACCTTAAGGTCAGCAGTTTGAAACTACCAGCTGTTTCACGGGAGAGAGATGAGGCTTTCTGCTCCCGTAAAGATTTACACCCTTGGAAACCCTGTACAGGGTCTCTATGGATTGGAATCAATTCGACAGCACTTAACAACAACATAGATAGGGAAAGGAGGTTGAGAATGTTATGGGAAGATGTGCACCAGCCACTCCTTAGAAACCCGATTTCGTCATTATAAGTCTGAGCCCACTCAATGGAACGTAACAACTATTACAACCATTATTATTTTGTAAATTGCTCTTCCCCTCTCTGTGTTTTTCAGGGCTTCTTCATCTTGGTGTTTGGAACAATCCTAGACCCGAAGGTACTGTGAGTCATTTTTGTTGTCTTATTTGTATCCTCACATTTGACCCTGAAACGCTCACTTGTAAAGTCCCATCAGCAACAGTCTTTCTCTATCATTTGTCTAGGCACATGGCCAGGACACCACTGTTAACAATACAAGTCATATCTACCATCTTTCAGGCTCTTATGGTTCTAAGCATTTTGTACTCATTAATGTTAATCCTTAAAACAATCTTGGGTACTATTAGTTTCCACGTGACAGATGAAGAAACTGAGATTCAGAATGACAGTAGTCTGCTTAAGATCTCACTAGATACCCAAATAGAATTTGAGACTACATAGCATAGAGCTGCAGGAGTGTGTTGTCTCTGTAGGATAAGCACTGGACTTCAAATCGCAAAGTCTGCAGTTCTAGTCCACCAGCCACTCCACAGAAGCAAGATGAGGCTTTCCTGCTCCCATAAAGATTTACAGACTTGGAAACTGTATTCAGGGTCGCTATGAGTTGAAACTGACTTGATGGCACTCAACAACAACAGTTTAGTTCTGCAAGGGCAGTTGGGAGAATGAGTTCCTGACTTTCACACTGAAGAGCAATGGACTCAAGGGAGGGAATTCTCCAAACACAAAAAGTAAACAAATGAACAAAGCAGCGCCTATCTGTTTGGGCTCCTAAAATCACCTTTTACCCTGGCATTACTCTGGCTCTTGGAATGAGCAATGCAAAAATCCTTCCCAGAGGTGGATGCAAACAACTCCATTTCAGAGCTGATTTTTTTCACTGTTTCACTAGTAAGTTATATAGTGAAGGGGGAATCTTACAATGTTCTTGTTTCCTCTCAGTTCACAGCTATATATATCAATCTAGTAAAAATTATTCAGAGGTGAAACTCAGAATCATAGTCTTGCTATTCTACTTCACTGGCTTTGTGCCATTGGGAAGTGCCTTAATCCCTGTGAACCTCAGGTTTCTCAAATAGAGTGCAGGGATAGTGATGATTACCCTGCCTACCCCACCAGACTACAGGAAAGAATAAACACAATTTTGTAAGCTAAAATACACAAGAAGAATTGAAGGAGTGCTAGAAGGAGTCCTGGTATGGTGCTGTGGGTTACTGTGCTTGACTGGAAAGTCAGTTCAAACCACAAGGTCGGCAGTTCAAGCTCACCAGCTGATCCTCAGAAACCCCACATGGTATTGCAACTGTAAAGTCTTGGAAACGCTATCCAAAGTCTCTATGAATCAGAAGTGCTTCGGCAGCCCTTAGCAACAATATCATTTAATTATGGTTTTTGATTACTCACAATACCACAACTAGCATTTATAGCAATCTACCACTCCCAACTCTAGGAGCTCTGGTAGTGTAGTGGTTATGAATCGGGCTGCGAATCGCAAGATCAGCAATTCGAAACTACCAGCTGTTCTGAGGGAGAAAGATGAGACATTCTGCTCCGGTAAAGATTTACAGCCTCGGAAACCCTGTACAGGGTCTCTATGAGTCAGAACCGACTCCATGGCACATAGCCACCACCACTCCCAACTCAAGGTAGCATTCCAAATACTGCATTTCTGGGGAAACTTCGGTATACGTTAATTGTGAGGAAAAACCTTCTACAAGGCCTTGGGACATGAATAATGTTTTATGTGGCAGAAGGGATGGGAAGTAAGAAGACAGTGCCTGCAGTCAGCCAGGAAGATTCAGGAAAACTCTTAGGATGATCTGGGGTCAGACTCCATGAGTCCAAGTTGTGGTTCTTTCTCTTAATAGCTGACTGATTTTGAGTGTCACTTAATCTCAGAGTCTTAATTTCATCACTTGTAAAATAGGGATAATAGTATGTATCTTACAGAGTTATGTCCAGGATAAAATAAGAAGGCAGGTATAAAAAGAACTTTGGAAAATGATCATTAAAGAGACAGCTAATATTTATTATTTTCTTGATTCTGCAGACCTATACTGTGTAGTCTCAAATATGATATACATATGCGGTTGTTGTTGTTAAATGCCATTAAGTCAGTTCCTATTCATATTGACCCTGTATAGGGCTTCTGAGGAGTAGCTGGTGTGTTTGAACCACTGACCTTGGGGCTCAAACCAATCTTGTGGTCCACTGCATTATCCTACAGAGTCACATCAGGACTCCTTGGAAACCCTATGGGGGAGTCCTGGTGTGGTGCCGTGGACTAAAGCACTGGGCCACAGGTCAGTTTGAACCACAAGGTTGGTGGTTCAAACTCACCCAGCCGCTCCTTGGAAACCCTATACAGGGTCGCTACAAGTAGGGACTGACTTGATGGCATTTAACAACAATAACACAGGGTTGCTATGAGTCAGAATTTCATCATTTAACCATTGGTTGTCCCTCTAGAAAAGGAGATTTGAATAATTGGTAAAGTAGGGGAATTGTTTTCCAAAGTTATATCAAGGAATCTGCAAACTTTTGGCAAAACTGCATTTGTTAGTCAGTAGGTCCTTATTTTAGGCCCCGAATATCAGTCTCCTAGGATTGCTTTGAGTCCATAGGACTCCTGGTATGGCACTATAGGATCAGCACTGGACTGTGAATCACAAGGTCTACAGTTCAAACCTATGAGCAGCTCCTTGGAAACTCTATAGGGTCACTATGAGTTGGAACCGACTTGATACCAGTTAACAATAACAATATACCAGTTCCATGGAGTTCTGGTGTAATGCTCTAGGATAAGCAATGGACTGCTAACTGCAAGGTTGGCAGTTCAAACTCACCAGCCATTCATTGGAAACGCTATACAGAGTTGCTATGAATTGGAACCGACTCAACGGCACTTAATAACAACATATCAGTTTCAGAAGAGCCCTGGTGGTACAGTGGTTAAAGACCTCATCTGCTAACCAAAAGGTCAGTGGTTCGAACCCACCAGCTGCTCCTAAGGAAAAAGATGTGACAGTGTGCTTTTGTAAAGATTATAGCCTTGGAAACCCTTCGGGTCAATATTACTCTGTCCTATAGGAGTCCTGGTGTGGCGCTGTGGGTTAATGCGCCAGACTGCAAAGCCATTTGAACTGCAAGGTTGGTGATTCAAGCTCACCAGCGGCTCCTCAGAAACCCTATATAGTGTCGCTATGGGTCAGAATTGATTCAACGGCACCTTACAACAACAACAACACAGGGTCGCTTGATGTCAACTTGAGGACTAAAGTGCGCCTGACCCAAGCCATGCTATTTTCAATAACCTCATATGCATGCAAAAGCTGGACAGTGAATAAGGAAGACTGGAGAAGAATTCATGCCTTTGAGTTACAGTGTTGGAGGAGAATATTGAAAGTATGTACCCTGGACTGCCAAAAGAACCAACAGATCTGTGTTGAAAGAAGTGCAGCCAGAGTGCTCCTTGGAGGCCACGATGGCCAAACTTCGTCTCTCATACTTGGGACCAGTCGCTGGAGAAGGATATTATGTTTGGTAAGGTGGAGGGTCAGAGAAAAGAGGAAGACCCCCAGCGAGAAATATAGGCAAAATGACACCATCAATTGGCTCAAGTGTGACAACAATTGTGAGGCTGGCCCAGAACTGGGCAGTGTTTCATTCTGTTATGCATAGGATTGCTATGAGTCGATACCGACTTGATGGCACCTAACAACAACAACATAGGGTCTCTGTGGGTCGGAATTGACTTGACAGCAGTGGATTTGTTTTGGGATACTAGTTCCACCTTTTTCACTTCTCCTCTTTCCCCACCTTTCTCCAGACCATATCTCCTTATTGTTGTTGTTGTTGTTAAGTGCCATCGAGTCAGGTCCGACCCATAGCGACCCTGTACAGGGTTTCCGAGGGTGTAAATCTTTACGGGAGTAGAAAGCCTCATCTTTCTCCCGCGGAGCGGCTGATAGTTTCGAACCACTGACCTTAAGGTTTGCAGCCCGATTCGTAACCACTACCCCTTAATAACCTATCAACAGGAATGAGCTGGTAGTATATATACACCCTTACTGCCATCCTTTCAGACCCAAACACATATGTCAACTTCTTACAGTTTTTAAATTCTGAACTCCTTTTGCTTTATATCCAGATAAGAGAAGCCTTAAAGTGCCGAGTAACCTCTACGAAATGGATTTCCAGATTGTCAGAGGTAACACTTTTGTACTAATGTTTTCATTTAAAAAGTTCAAAACAGTGTTGGAGTTTCAGGCATATGGAATGTTGCTAAAACTGCCTCTTTAACATTTTGTGCTGTGAGGTTTTCAGAAGTGCCAAGTGAAAGCCATTTTGAGCACTTCATATTCTTTCTGGAGTCTGGGGACCACATACAAGGGAATGAAAGCAAACTTTAATACATTTGGAGGAAAGCAACCAGGGTGGCAAGGTGGTTGGGCAGGAGGGGAGATTTCAACCAATATCATAGGAGAAGCAAGTTATGAAACAGAAATGAGAGAAGGTGAGAAGTTTCAGGCTCCCACAAGAACTCAAATGTTATTTGTGATTCCAGTTGGTTGAATCACATTCAAAGGGTAAAAGTTCCTGGGAAACACTTTGTATATGGTGGTACACAGAGAACTTCCTAATAGTTTGATTTTCAAGAGAGGATGAGGGTCATGGTTCTTGAGGGGTTAGGAGGATGGACCATTACATGTCCTAGCTTTGATTCTTATAATACAGGAACAATTTACTGTTATGCAAATGTTGAGACCCATCAACGATTCTAACTGAAGGAAAAACTGTAAAGTTCAGTAGAATGAGGGATCAGGACTGGCACAAGGTACACATCAAGCAATAAGAGAAGAGGTGATCTAGTTTCCCCTGCTAGAATCTGATAGGACTAAAATTGCCCAACATGGTCTGGTGTTGCAGGACGTCTGGGTGGAGAGCCATGATGGACCATGATGGACCATTCAGGAAACTGGACACCTTGTGGACTGAGTTGTCTTGTCCTCTCCCCATTTTTCTTGTCTCTTCATTTTCTTTCCTTTGGTTTCTTTATCATCCCTCTTCTCTCCTTTCCCTTTTCCTCCATTCCTTTTCTTTTCCTATTTCTTTTTTCCTTATACTTACCTAAGCTTTGATTTTTTCCTCCCCCTAGTTCTTGAGTCTCCTTACATGCAAGGTATCTCTCTACTTCCCTTTCAGTTGAAAAAAAGGCCAAGTTTTTTTTAAACTACAGATTAATATTTACAAAAAGCTACAATTCTTAATCATGACTGCATTTTGGAATCAACTGAGAAGCTTAGAAAATATTGTTGCCTGGTTCCCACCCTTAGAGATTCCAGATGAATTGCAATGGTGGCCCAGGTCTTGGGAGTTTTGAAAAATCTTCAGATGATTTTAATGTACAGCCAAGGTTCAAAGCCAATGACATAAAGCCCTATTGAACTATCTTAGCAGTATAGAGATTGGCCTCCAACCGGATGTAAGCTTTCTAGTACTGCCTCACTCTGGTCTGCCGTGGTGCTCTCAGGAGACAGCAAGCCCTTTAAGCCCCTTTCAAGTTTAACATTTCTCCTTTCCTAAGTGTTTTCAGTACTGATCCATTTAGGTCACCAAAGGGAAATTCTGATCTTCAATGCTATGGACAAACAATCATTTTCCGTGCTTCTCTTTGTTTTGTTTTTTGGTTTGTTTTACAGGAAAGGCTATCCAGAATCACACCCATCATGTTATTATCAGTGGTTGATTGCCTGAGTCAGTGGTTTCCAACCCTGCACATTATAATCATCTGTTGTTGTTGTTAGGTGCCATGGAGTTGGTTCTAACTCATGGTGACCCTATGCAAAACAGAAAGAAACACTGTCTGGTCCTGCGGCTTCCTCACAATTGTTGTTATATTTGAACTCCTTTCTGCTGCCACTGTGCCAATACATCTCATTGGGGTCTTCCTCCTTTTCATTGACCATCCACTTTACCAAGGGAGATTTTATAAAATTATCACTGTCCAGGCCCCACCCAAGAAAATTAGATCAGAAACTCTATCTCCTTGGCATTTTAAAAAGCTTCCCAGTGATTCTAATGCTCTAATGCCAGGGTTCAGCACCACTGGTTCAGGTACTAAGCAAATTTATCCTAACTTCCTGCGACCCTTCCTTTTTTGGGCACATTACCTTTAAGCCATTCATTGCATGCCACTTTTTTTTAATCAGTCCTTTTCAGAAGGTGATAGTAGGCATGTCACCTGTCCGCTCCTCTCCTTGCTTTGTGGGCCTTTGATCATCAGGTAGAACTCATCTGCTGTTGTACTTGTTAGTTGGTGCTCAATTCATGGCAACCCCGTGCACACCTGGATGTGCACACCTATGCCACACGGCTACCTGGTGCTGTGCCATCCCCAGGACTAACTGCAGACAGGCCATTCACTGACTGATTCTTGGAAGTACACCATCAATCTTTTCTTTCTAGTCCATCAGTCTAGAATCTCAGCTGAAATCTGTTCAGCATCATAGCAACATGTAAGCCTCCACTAATAGACTGGAGATTGTGCATGAGGCTCATTGATGGGAATTGAATTAGGTCTCTTTCATAAAAAATGAAAATTCTACCAATGAACCGTCGATGCCCATAGTCATCTCCAACTGTCCAGATACACCTCTCTCCTCTCATGGTGTCTGCTTAGGTTGTACTGTTATACCCAGAATTCAGGGTCCCCAAAGACCACCCAGGAGCCGTGTACCGATGCAAATACATAAGAGAAGTTTAATCAAGCTCGAGCCAGGTCTCTAACCTTATCCGATGCATCAGAATAGGGAAAGAGCCCTGAATTCATTGTCTGCAGGGTTTTTATAGAATTTTCAAACAGCTCAGGTTTCTCAACTTTACAATCTTTGGATTGGTTAACAATTGGCAAACTATGAGATGTTACAGTTTAATTGGTCAGCACTGGTGGTCTTTGTTCTTAGGCTAGGGTAAAGGAAAACATCTGGCCTCTGGCCTTGAGCTGCCTGGCTATTTATACATATATCATTTTCTCGGAGCTAGAGGACGTGTTCAGGCTAATGTACAGAATGGAGATTGACCTTGTCTCTGGAGGGAACTAAAAACTGAGGACTTGTCTATTTAAAATGCTTTCCTGAGCCTGACTAGAGTTTAGTCAAGCAGTCTCTAGGTAGGCAAAATCAGGTAAAGTCAGTTTGGTCCTTACAGTGCCAGTCCCATCTCGCTCAACCCAGGATAATAAATGTGTGCATCTTGGTGATTTTCTCTCTGATTTGATGCGTTAGTCTATGTTCAGACAGTAATACTTCTACCAGTGTGTTTATGACTATTACCCATCTTAGGAAACTTATACCTAAAATACAAGGGTATTTTGGACTCAGGCACATCAGAAGAGAATGACCTAAATGTTGGGGGCTTTCAGCAGACTAGATGAGAAGGAGCTATTTGAAGGACAGGAGATACTTTCATGGCACTCAGCTGCCCTCCCCTAGGACCACCTTCAGGAGAACGATCCAGGTCATGCAAGGAGGATGCGACTCCCTCACACCTGCCTCTCCCTCTCTGTTGTCAGTGGTTCTGATATAAGGAAGGAGAGGGATGGAGTGAAAGAATAAAATAAACTGCTGTGGATCACCATTCCCCATGCTCTTTGAATAATTATGATAACTGAAAATGAGCTAATGATGATAACTTCGATTATCCTTTTGTCTTCCACAGAACCCTTCTTCTGAATTCACTTGTCACCCCACCAAAGGGCCAAGCTAACAAACCAGACTACAACCCTAACTTGGGAGGTGAGTGCAAAAGCCAAGAGGTCCTTATATGCATCTCATACAAATTACGTTTCCTTTAAAAGTCACAATTGGAATCCTTATCATTAGAAATTATTTTCCCTTGATTGAAGGAACTCTATAGTCAGTACATTCTCACCTAGATATGGTCAGAGATGTATTCACATTTCTAATTCTTGGGCTACTGAACTGTTTTGTTATCATTTTGAAACAGATAGACATGCTGGAGGATGCTTATAAATCAACCGACCAGTTGCTATGGAGTTGACTCTAACTCATGGTGACCACATGTGTGTCAGAGTAGAACTTAGGAGATGTTCAGTGGCTCATTATTTAGAAATAGATTGCTAGACCTTTATTCCAAGATACTTCTAGGTGGATTTGAATCACCAACCTTTCAGTTAGCAACTGAGTGTGCTAACCATTTGTACTATCCAGGGATTCTGCTTCTAAATGAACCTGGGTAGGTTTAAGAGAGGCATGATCAGAGGTGCTTAGCTGCTCTGTTTCCTCCATCTCCTCTCTAACTCCCCATCCTCTGGACATTGTGTATGATATTAGTAATATCCTCACATGATCAGGAAATTAGGAAAAACAAAATCTGTGAGAGGCCGGTTGGAGAATGTAGATGCTAATTATCATTGGAGGTAACTTGCTGTGAGACAGAGAAAGAGAAACAGAGGACCCTGGATTTAGAGATAGAGACGCAGACATACATTGACAGAGAGACATGAAGACAGAGTTGGAAGAAAACCACCCAGATACAAGGGCATATGCAGACACCTCTTGCAACCTGTGTCTTAAGGTTCTTCCAGATCTAGAGAGAAACCAGAGAGGGATTCAGAAATATCTGCAATGAAATACCTATATTCACAGAAAGACAGAAAGATGTAGAGGGAGGCTGAGAGATGCACAGAGAAATCCAAAGAAATAAAGAGAGAGCGGCATGAATGCACAGCAAGTTTCACAGAGAGACACATTCAGAGCTACGGAGACAGAAACAGAGAGGGGTGCAGAGAGGAAAAAACACAACAAAAGCTGTGGCCATTGAGTTTACTTCCACTCCTGGGGACTCCATGTGTATCAGAGTATAACTCTGTTCCATAGGTTCAATGGTAAACTGACAGGCCTTTCTTCTAAGGTCTCTCGGGGTAAATTCAAGCCTCCAACCTTTCAGTTAACAACTGAATATGAATTGATTGCACTACTCAGGCACTCAAATACGTAGACTGAGCTTAAGAGAGTTGTCTTCCTCTTCCACACCCAGGTATATACTTCTGTGGCTGAAACTTTACATGGCAGCCCAGGCCCTTATACCAAGAAAAAGGTATTTCCAAAAGGAGTTCCAAAAAGTGATCCAGATGAGAGAAAGACACAGTTTATAACTCAGCATTGGTAGGCAATGTTGTCGTTGTTACGTGCCATCAAGTTGGTTCCGACTCATAGTGACCTTTATAAGGTTTCTGAGAAGCAGCTGGTAGGTTTGAACCACTGACCTTGTAATTCAAACTGGCCTGTGTTCCAGTGCTTTATCCTAAAAGGACAAGCCTTTTCTTGGTTTCCAGAGTGATTTAAAGTAAAAAGACTCTTCATCTGCCAAGGTGGGGCCTACCAAAAAGGGCTTATTATTCAAGAAAAATAGAGCTTATAATGTATCTTCCATGAGGTCTTTGTTGCTGCTGTTGATAAATGCCTCATATAGCAGCTCATATCAACCCTGTATTGGGTTTGAACTGCCAACCTTACAGTTAGCATTCTAGTGTTTATCGTACAGCGCCATCCCAGGGCTTGTCCATTAAAGCTGTGATTTTCTGTTCTTGATTAGGTCGGACATTCCACGAGTGGCGTAGCCCCAAGGAGAATGCTCAGAGTCCTGTCTTCTTGCCTTTGGAAAGTATGAAGGAAGCCTCACACATGGTGGTGGTGCTGATGGAGGAGCGTGTGGAGTGTGGAACAATGGAAGGACACTCTCTCTAAGCTCTTCTATGCTGCCAAACATTTCTCCCCCGATCAACTTCCCCATATTCCCTGCTGGCCATCCACAGGAAAAGGCTACATGGGTCACAGTAGTTCTGTGGTATTGTCAGGGTCTCAAGCTCCGTGGTGCTGGGCCATATTTATCCTCAGGAAGGGAACTCTGGGTCATCCTGGCAGAGGAGGATTGGGATGTCACCTGGCTAGATTCTGTGGGTTGTGAAGGGAGGGTCCTTCATGAATAGTTATCAAAAGTTGGGCTGACTCTAAGTAGGTAATTGCTGGTTCTTTTTATTAAAGGAATCCAGCTGCCAGAATATTCCACCTCCAACTTTGAATGGGTTGGAAGGTCAGCCTGATTCTGTCTTACATGCAACTTCTTCGGCCATGACTCAAGTGAAAAGAATAGAGTGTTAGAATCAGAAAAGATGTTTATTTTAAGTTAAGGAGACCAAAGCCTGGAGTAAATCAACAGTTTATCAAGGGTTGAGCCAGAGGTAGAAATTCAAGTGCCCAGGCTTCCAGCCCTCGATTTTCTTTCAAGACCATGTAGCCACTGAGTAGTTTTCAGTCCTGGTGATGTACAGTCAATGTAAGATAAACACTCACCCACAATATGGTTTTTTGAAGTCTAGGATAGGGAAGGGGAAATATTGTATTTCAAGTAGAAAGCTGCTAATTTCCTTAAGAGTGTATGTAAACAAATTCAGCATCCGTCACCCTAGAGAAGAACAGTACTGTAGATAAGAGACCTTTAAAAGTCTTCTTTTAAAACATAGACCCCTGTCCTAGAAGAAAATTAGTGGATAAAGGTAAGGGGCAATGTCGTTGTTGTTATGTGCCGTGGAGTTGGTTCTGACTCATAGCGACCCTGAACAGGGTTTCTGAGGCTGTAAATCTTTACAGGAGCAGAAAGCCTCATCTTTCTCCCGCGGAACAGCTGGTAGTTTCGAACTGCTGACCTTGCGGTTCGCAGCCCGATTTGTAACCACTACGCTACCAGAGCTCCTTATCCTACCAAAAGGTCAATATTAAAGATGCTACATTACAAATGGAAAAATGACGCTCACTTTTTCAATTAGTGATGTCTCAGTTTCTCTCTCTTCCTCTCTTTTACAACGACTACAAGAAATTCCTCCTTTAGGTATGGACGTTTGAGAAGGAAAAAGTATAAAAAAGAAGCCAACCAGAAGGTAGAAAAATGTACCTACCTGGACAATGAGCCATCTTTGAAGTGGCATTGATCCTCTAGGGACAATAGCATCCTTCTCAGAGGAAGCCAGAAAGTGTTGTTAATTTTCCACTTTCCTACATATCTTTAGAGTCTCTTCAAGGCAAGGGGGTAGGCAAATACAATTCTAATTTGATCAGTGCTGGTACAAGGAACCACCATTTACTTGAGCCAGTATATTGAAGTGAGGATAGAATATTTAGCTAAGTAATTATGGGATTATAAATATGAAAATCTTTAGAAATGACTGCATCAACTGCCATCTTCTACACATTAGAACTTTGGATATCAAAGAGATAGGGAGAGATTGACTTTTCATATCTATCGTATATGAAAAGGTCACATCTAGTATGAAATCACCTTCTACTTAGATAGACTCACTCCTCTGAGATAGGGTGGCAGGAAAGACACTCTACCTTTGGTTTATCATTAACTGAAGAGGGCTCATGGATGCTTACAAATAATCTTGGAATGATTTAGGAGTGTCTAGAGAAAGCCTGTGCCCCCTAATGCAGCCTACAACATAGTCTGGACCATCATGAAAGCAGTTGATGGATTAGGTTGGCTAGTGGCAACCTTGTGTGGAGACACATATAGTGCCTTCCCACAGCTTGTAAGAGAAGTGATTTGGTCAATTATTTAAGAAGAAATTGGTCTTACAATGTCTAAAGCAAATTCTTGGGTATAATAATTCTTGGGGAAGTTATTTAAAATTCCTTGGACTTTGGTTTTCCATTTTATAAAATGAGGATAGTGGAGTCTACCTCAAATGGTTAGTTGTGAAGATTAAATGAATAGGTAATGCACTTTGCATAGTACTTAGCAAATAATAACTAATCATTAAATATTCTTTTTTTTTAATGCAATGCATGCACACAGCAAACACATTTCTCTGACCTTTTGTGTGGACACACTCATGGGAGCAGTCCACTTACTTCTAAGTGTTCAACATCAGGGGTCTCAGCTGACTAAGTCTGTTGTTCTTATCACTGAACATTCCATGTCATCCCAGTTGTAAGATACAGTTTTCTGCCTTAGAGAGACAGGACTATATCATAGTGCTCTACTCAATACACTCTCTGTCTGAGCTCTGGTTCACTTTTTTACTCTCTCCATGGAGTCTTTTCTGGTTGATCCAACCGAAAGTGCTGATTTTCTCCATCTGGTTTCCTAGTATATGTATAAGTTGTGCCATCCACTTTACATCTAGTGTTTACTATATTATTTGCTTTTTGTCTCTCAATATTTATGTATTTTCTTTTCCTATAAAACTTTGGTGGTAGGACCCCCCTATGTTACTCCCTTGTCTGTGTTCACAGAGAAGAATAAGGTGCCTTGCATGTAGAATATGTTCAATTAATATGTTCAATAAAGGCCTTTGGTTACACAACTACTTGACGGTGCTGGTTTTTTCCCATCCCCAAGTGACTTAATACCTAACGAGCGACCTAAATACAACTGACCCATTTCCACAAATATCGCCTCCTTAAACTTTATTGCTGTAAACGACATAATAAAACTGACGCTGACTATTTCTCCTTTGTCAAAATTTCTCCTGGTTATATTTAACTGGGCATTTGGATTAGACCTTTGGGTAAAGAAAACATGCAAATAGAAGATACCAGAATTAGGATATGTGGGAATATTTGGTGAGGAACAAAATAATCTAAAATGGCCACTGTATTTAAAGTCAGGTTTTCTGAGTTTTTCCAAAAATGGAGATTGTGCTTTCTATATCTGAATTCCCCATGGCCGTGGCACTGCAGTAGAGACTGAATAAGAACTTCTTAGCTAAGTAATTAAAAAATAGAATGGTGGTCTCTTTGATGCTAAGGTAGGGATTAGATCACTGTTGACTGAATTCCTACCTAATTTTCCATATGTTCACCATCACTACAGGCAAAAATGTGATGGCACATTAAAATCACCACCCGCAGTGGCACAGCTTTGCCTTTTATCACCCCAAAGTTCTCACTATACGAGGGCAGTAGATGGAACACAGTCTCATGTGATAATCTGAGATAAAGATGAACAACTGGAGGACAAACAAATGACTCACTTTAATGGTTCCGCTTCAGACGAGAGAAACCTGTAATTTCTCTTTGGCATGCTTGATGGTCCCATTGTGGAGTGAATCACAGACTTACACAAGCCTTGAAACTGCGGGCAGCTTTACAATTCTCAGGTTGGCTTCCTATAATAGGTAGCTGGTTCACACCGGGGCCTCTTGGACTGACATCCCTTTCAAAATATGGAGAAGACAGATCACGGCTACTGAAGGGAGACCGTGGGAGGTGCCAGTGTGGGCCCACGTGATGGTGGGGCACCATGGTGGGGAGCTCAGTGCCGACCTTCCTGCTGGGTGACTGTCCAACTCTGGCTGCTAACTCTCCTGGGTGCTGTGAGTATATATTGCATGCCAACACTTTTTTCCTATTGAAGAAAGCATTGTTTTTGCACATATTCTGGAATGAGAAAAATGTGTGATTTATAATGATATTTTCTGGCATGTGTGATTCTGTAGGAACCTACTACCCTAGCACTACTTGACATTGGCTACTTCAAACTTGGATTATTTCCTAGGTCTGTTTTATGTGCATTTTTATTTCAAAAGCTGTATGTCAGGCTCTACTTCCCACAGAGTGAAAATACATAGCACCCTGTCAGACAATCAGACTCTCTTGCTTGAAAAATTAGATGAGCTAACTAGCTTTCAATTTCTTTCCTTTAGGCTGAATGTAAAGCTGAATTTTAAAAAATCATTCTTTAGTAGTTCCTTCTTGTTTGTGGGACTGACAAAGCTGTCTTTATATTAACTTAAAGTGAAATGTTTCTTCCAGTTGCTGCTGAAATCTTTTTGCAAAGGCATCTCCATTGTTTTTAGCGATCAATAGTATGCCACTTGAAGGCTTATGTTTCTTATTCTCCCAGAACAGTTTGCAACGTAAGGAATTATGTAGTTTATGTATATTCCAGTGAGATTTCCCATGGAGCAGAGTAATCTCTGGCTCTACCCATTTCTTTAAAATCATATTAAGTGTCAGGATTGTTGACTAGATGTCCAGATGCTTCCTATTCTGGGATTGTGTGATTCTTGAAATTGATTAGAATCTAAACTCCAATTCTCAGAAAATATACTGAGTTAGAAAGAATTGATTGGAAGTTATTTGAAACAGTTAAAGATAAGAGGTTTCTGATTCTAACAGATCTTTTTTATCTCTCTTTTCCCAAGACTCTTTATGAAACATCTCATCCATGGCAAGGGAGAACTGGTAAGAAGGACTGGTAAGAAGGCCAAGAAATACTGGGTCTTAAAATGTATAAACAACTTCTTTATCCACCTGACTTTATGTATCAACACTAATGTTCTACTGATATTAGTGGAGTCTATCAAACATACAGTTATGAAATTAGGCTAAGAGGAGCAAAACGCATACATGCATACCACAAACATGCCCACCTCAAAATGTGGGTCACTTAACTCTTTGTCCTGCCTGCCATTAACTTTTCTGCATAGTTCATTCTTGTCAGACTAGTAAACAATGGGTTTGGTCAGGGAGCATGGGGTGAGTTGCCACCTAAATTAGCCAACTAGTGAGAATAGGCCCTCCCTCTCACCATGGGGTGCAGCTCAAAAGGGAGGAACAACTTGGGGAAAGTGTCTACTTGGTTAATAAATAGTCCCAGCTCAGCTCACCTTAGGGTGTTTTGCAGGAAGAGGTCTGAGTGGTCGCCCTTTTGATACATCCTTTTCTGACTGACTACATTTAGT